CAGTCAGTGTACCTGCCCTTCTCCCAGGAAGAATTTAAGCATCTGATGATGACAGCCGTTTCTACTCAAATAGCTTTTGCTGATTTCTTGGGAAATATCATTCACAATCCTCCTAGAGACCCTCGTTTGTCTTTCCTTACAGGGCTACATTAAGTTTTGCGAAATGCTTTGTCCCTCCTACCCTTACCCTCCGCCCTTATTGTGTTCACTGATGGTACCAAATCCAGAGGGGTGGTGGTGTGGGAAGAGGAGGGGGAATGGAAAAGTTTGTATACTGCTGAGCAGTCCTCAGCACAACGTGCTGAATTGGCAGCTGTAATTTTGGCATTTCAACAGTTTGCTAATATCCCTTTCAATCTCATTGTGGATTCTCATTATGTATATAATCTTTTGAATGTCTTACCATTGTCTTATATCACTCCTGCTATTGATCAAAATTTGTTTACATTGTTTTCCACTTTGCAGAACTTGGTACAAGCTAGAACTTGTCAGTTTTATGTAGCCTATCTCAGATCTCACACTGGCCACCCTGGGTATTTGGCAAAAGGTAATGCCCAGGCAGACCATGCTTTGAAGAATGGTATTTTTTCATTGTTTTCAGACCCATTTGAAAGTCATTCTGTATTTCATCAAAATGCTAAAGTTCTGGCAGAATCTTTTTCATTGCCCATTTCTCAAGCTCGAGACATTGGGCTTTTTCTGGATTGTGGGTTTTACATGCCAATAATCGAGCCATGAAATATCACACAGGTTGCTCGGAAGTGGCCATTGGACTAATTTACCATTCTCATCCTTATTGGCATCACTTGGATTTTACCCCCCAGATCTCTTCTTTTTTTCTCCTCCCTCAGGAGTCCTGCCCTATGATGTGTTCCCCTGAGCATGTACAGAGGGCTGTCTTGGAACTATTGTGGACTCTTGGCAGGGGAGGGGTGAGGGGATTTCAGTGTGTTCCAGTTGTTTCATTTTTGTGCTTTGGCATGGTTCCCGGACAGAAAGAAAGTTGCAATATGGTTTTTTTAGCAAGGCCCGCGAAGACAATGGGCTCTGTTCTCGACCTTGTTGCAATCTTTTTAGTTACAGCAAGTGGAATATGCTTGAAAAAAATATATGCTTGGCTAGTGCCTTTTTAGCTGCTGAGAAAAATGATTTTAAAAAGTTTTGAGAAGTTTTGAGCTTTTTTTGGTGGTGGTATTCTGGTATTCCAGTTAATGCTTCATTTAAGATTAGCAATAATATGAAGGATAATCGTATAAGTTCACCCCCTGTTTTTTTTGTCGCTTGCAGAAATAGTGTCTTATTGTTTTCGTTTCAATCATAAAAAATTTTAGGTCATTATCCATATTGTAATTGGACCTATGAGTATTTTAATGGATCTTCTTGTTTTCTTAATGTTACCACTATGAGTGGTAGGCCAAATGTCTTAATTGATAATGTCACAACCTACATGACCTATGAACAACAAGCTGCGTGTAGAGATTTTTATGTTTGGTTGGACTGGAAGAGAAAGAGCAGTAAATCTGCATATTTGCTTCAATCTGATTTATGGTTATTCTGTGGCAAATTGGACCGAAGCTTTGTTTTTAATTCTATCATCTTTGTTTTACAAATAATTAACAACAACAAAAACAACAACAAAAAACAAGACAAAAAAAAAGTCAGAAATGAGAGAAGTTGCTTTATAAACTTTTTATGCTTTAAATGTAATCCTTGCCTCTAAAGGTGGAATTTATGCCTTAATTCATTCTCATTGTTGTATGTATATAACTGATCAATCGACCAATATCTCCGCTACTATCGATTATATGGAACAAATGATAGCCCATAATCCTTTGAATCCACCTGAAGGTTTTGACCCATGGGATTGGTTATTTTTTGGTTACTTAATGGATTATGGTTAAGAAATTTATTATTGATTGTAATTGCATGTATTGTTGGTTTTATTGTGTATTTAATGCTTGCTTTCTTTGATTTCCCAATATATTGCATGGTGGTTCCGACCAAGGCCCACCACAGGGGTTACAAGAGGAATTTATGTTGCAAAATATAAACGCTTAGGTAATGGGATTGCGATTCTGATTAATGGTCCCTCTTTTCCTCTAATAATATAAACAAGAAAAGAGGGCATGTGGGAAAATGATTGCTTGTACATAAGAGCATGAGCAGAGTTCTTATTATTGCAGAGTGATTTTACAGCACGAGATATTGCTAAGAGCATGATGAGCACGTTAACACCTCATGCTAGACTAATGATTGGCTCACGTAGCATAACACTCTCTTTGTCTGTGGGCAAAAGCAAGGTTACATTCCTTTGATTTGTTACTTTTGAGTACCAGGCAGAACAAGCGCAGTGCTGGAGGAGGGAGGATGATTTCCTTTTTTACTGCACACAATAAACATTGCACGGCTGAAGCCAAAGCTTTTTCTTCAAGTCATCTTGGTGTGAGACTGATTTCTTACTGATTTTCTTACTGATGTCGAGCTGGATTCTCGACATTAAGGCTCCACCTGGCAGTGTTTCATGGAATGTGTGCCTGTCCCTAACTGGTTGCTCCTATATCTCATCAGGTAAAACAAAACCCAAACCCTCAGTAGTATATAAAGCCTCTTTCCAAACCCTTAAGCTCTTGCACCCCACCAAAAATGTAGGAAGCAGCCATCAGGTGTGCTTGAACTCAGGACAAAAGGGAGAAATGTGCTAAGAGGAAGGCACGTTTGGCAAAGGCTCACCGGGATCAACTCCCGCCCGGAAACCTATGTCCCCACTGTGGAAGGACGTGTGGATCCAGAATTGGCCTCCACACTCACTTATGGACTCATTGTTAAGACCGTGTTCATGGAAGACAATCTTACTCGGCTACGAGGGATCGCCAAAGAAGAAGAAAATACTAAAGTGACTGAATTTAATATGTTTCAGTTCCCGAAGGCAACATACCCTTTTCAAATATATCTACTTATATTATGATGTGGGACAAGTATCTTTTGCAAAGAGAGGAGCTGTCACAGTGTTGGAGAAGCACCAAGGCCATCGATCTAGCTTGGCACTCGCAAGCAGAGCTTTGCATTTGCCTTCTAGGGTAAAGAAAGTGTCTCATGTCCTCACAAAGAGGTTTTTCCTGCCACAGCAAGTAACCCTGTTTGAACATGCAGGGTTTCTGGTTACAGTCTGTTGTACTCCAACTTCCACTCACCCTACTTGCCACCTCTAGTAAGGAAAGTAGTACAGAGGCATATAGATGTCACTGTGCACAACTGGCAGTCTTCACACTACTACATTTTCTTTGGTGGGCATCAAATGAATTCTTAAAAGGAACTCCAAAGCAATGCACATATAAAACGCTGAACAACAGACAACAGAGTCCTGCTCCCTGACTTAACAATCAAAATAAACATGAAATAAAAGGAAGGCATTAAGTCTCACTGAGTTCAAAGGGGCTTGTTCCTATATTCCCAGAATCTAGGGTTTACAGCTATAGGGGTTGTTATTTATTTACAAAAAACTCTACAACCAACATGAACTCTGGCTGTAAGCAGGGAACACAAACTAATGCAACATTTAAATACTAAAAATCTGGAAATCTACACTTCCTTTTCACAAGACAAAGAGGCAGTACATAGCAATATCTAGTTTATAAACTGGCACTTATGTTTTTGCTCATATGGCTCTTTGAATCTTCAGTATAGGCAAAATTTTATTTTTCCCGAAAAGGTTCCATAGGTCCCTGTTTCCAAAGATGCATCTCTTCTACAATAAATAAGTTAAGCAGAAAGTAGACGGCGAAGGGGATCTGATATACCAGCCAATGGGCCAATCTTAACTGTTTACTTCAATTTACACAAAGGAAGCTTTAAAATGCTTCCTTTCATGACATGTTTATATTGATCCCAAAGGAATCCTAGTGCCACCACGTATTTTGAGAACTGTGCTCTCTCTCTCTCTCTCTCTCTCACACACACACACACACACACACACACACACCCTCAAAATTTGCCAGTGCCTTCCTATTGACAGTAAATCCTCTTTGCTGTTAAAAAACCCATTTTACTCATTCAGGATGCACGTCTTATAGGGCTGAGAGCCAATGAAAGACCAAGCTGTCACAGTGATGGCCACCAACTTGGGTGGTTTTGAAAGAGTAGAGGGCAATCAATGGCTATGCTCTGACACCACAGTTGGAGGCAGCAATGCTGCTGAATATCAGTTCCTGGAAGCCACAGGAAGAGAGAATGCACTTCTGTCTGAATCCTGCTTGGGGGTTTCCCACAGGCATCGGTTTGGCCACTGTGAGTACAGGATGTTGGACTACATGGGCCACTGGCCTGAACCAGCAAGTTCTTATCATAGTATGGCTTTATACACATTGGTAGAGGGCTTTGAATTCTTGAGTGAGCAATACTGAGGATGCCTTGACAATGAATCCCTCATTTATGACCAGAATGGCACGTTTCTAGACATCTCTGTGTTAATGTCACATAGCTATTGTTGAGAGTGCTACAATCACCCACAACCTTTTCTATCAGCACCAATGAATTTTGTTCACAGACTTCTTACAGAAGACAACTTTCACAGGATATACCAGTCAAATAACATCGACATGAGAGTGTGTACCAGCTTAGCCCCATTCTATTTTGATTACTATGCACAGGTCTGAACTATGGACAGAAAATTTCCCTAACACTCTTCAATTTTAGGCTCAGATACAACACTCTTGACCCTAATCTGATCAGCTGATTTGTAGTTGTGGAGAACAGCCTTTACCAAAGGTGCCGTGGACATTGAAGCATGAACTCAGAGCGAAAAGGAAAAACGAGGTAAGAGGAAGGCACATTTGGCAAACCCTCACCATGATCAACTCCCACCCAGAAACCAATGTCCCCACTGTGGAAGGATGTGTGGATCCAGAACTGGCCTCCACAGTCACGGACTCATTGTTAAAACTGTGTTTATGGAAGACAATCTTACTCGTCTACAAGTGATCGCCAAAGAAGAAAGAAGATACTTTCAAGTACAAAAGAAGACATGTTTGCACACTTATAGAATTTTCTGTCACCACTACAAGGGCAAAAATACAGCTGGATCAGAGATACAACAAAAAGAAGACACAATGGGAAGGCAAAAGGCTGAAGACAAGCCTGGCGATCTCATCAGTGAGTTAACCAGGCTGAAATCATTAAGCTTCTCTAGGGCAGCGCCACACTGAGCTTTTTGATAGATCAAAAACTTCTACACATTCCACCATACTAGCAGCTGTTGAGAATGGATTCTCAATACAAAATTCCATGGGAAGGGAAGTGATAAAGTGAAGACAACCAATTTACAGCTCAAGCTCACTGAGGTTTGCAAAAAGGTGCGTGGCAAACAGAGAACCAACATTCCTGCCAAGGGTTATTGACAGCGTATCAATGAAGTTATAGGTGTGCTTGCTTTCTGCTATGATACTCCCAAGGCTTATTTAGTAGGTTTGTTCTGGTTCAAAATCTAGTCTTGGCTGAAAGTCCCCAGCAAGCTACCAGGTTAAGCAGTCAAATAATTCAGCTCCTTTGAGATGTATACACCAAGGTAATGCAACCATCAAATAAAAAGCAGAATCTGACCAAGCCTCTGCTATCCTAAAAATGGTACTGCATAGTTTTTATTAACTTTTGGTAACATACCCGTCATAGCATAGTTATTTAGCTTACTTATTTAGACCATCAGGACGTCGTCTTTACCACTTTGAATACAAATAACTCCAAGAGGAAACACTTTCCATGCTCTGAAAAGCATCTCAGAATGGCAGTTTTGGTTCTGCTTCAAGGATCTGCCATTCTGATGAATCTCTTTATTCATCTGCAGCCCTTATCACAGTTGACCAGCAAAAGCTCAAGCCTGAAGCATGGTGGCCTATGCCGCCCCATCAGTACTACGAGGCTGAAAACCCTCCCTTCGGAGACTGTTTAAGTCTAAGCGTGTTATGACCTCACAGCGCACTAGGATACTATCGTCCTTTATATAGTTTTTTTGTTTTAGCGCCTGCAACTGCATAAACGTCACATATCCAAAGCCTTTTGGGTTGCGGTCGACCATGGGGCGCTGGAAAGCAAGCAGCTCGGGCTTGGTATCCATCACTTCCTCGTGGTTGTGCCTTGACGATCCTTCTGACTGATCCAGGATAGAAAGCCGTATGGTGCCTTGGAAGGGCCAAGGCAGGTGGCTGTCATATTGCCCTTGCATCGTATGAACAAAAAGGGAAATATAGTTGGCACAGCGCTGTGCATTCGGGGACTGGATATGCAGCCGCAAGCAGAGTTTGTAGCCGGGTTTCCCTGTGTAGAAGCCTGGGCTGTGGATTACAACAGGCCTATCTTCCTCCTGCGCTCTCAAGTAAACACTGAAATTCTCAATCTTCCACAGGAAAATACCATTACACTGCTGTGATTCCACTTCTGCGACTTTTTCCTCCAGATTTCGGATAGTGCGTTTGAGATCTCTCATCTGGTTGTTTTGTGTCTCCATCTTTGCTATGAGTTCTCGGATCTGGTGATCTTGCCTTACCAAGCGACCTTCCAGTTGTTGAATCGTCTCCTTGAAGTTGTGGACCTCTGGGCTACATTCACAGGAAGGTGATGGGTCATATGGGATAGCGCCATGGAAATTAGTGATATTCAGGAGAGTCTGAGCCATCATTCTCATATGGACTGGGGTGAACTCCTGCATATGCCGTGCCAACTCATTTCTCTGCATCTGTAATTAAATAAAGGCACATAGTTCCATAAGCATTTCCTTTGACTAAAGTCAAGCACTGAGCCTTAATGGGCAAGGAAAAAACCACTGTGTTTAAAAGCAGAACTGGCTTAATCTTCCAGTGATTGTCTGAAACAGGAATTGAAAAACTGAACAAAGAGCAATATTATTATTTGAAAAAGTGAACAGAATGCCAAGTGTTACTACTGCACTGTTCAGATGCCTTTATTGGAAAGCAATTTAAGGCTTTGGAGAAAAAATTCTCAATACAGATTTTCTGCACAAACCTGTGTCACTGCTGATCTAAATGAATGGTGAGATCAGGATTATACCATGTGCTACCTGCTTCCAAGTTCAGGCAGATCACCTTATTTCATAGCACATTTGGAAGGTCCTTGTATTGTAAAGCTTAATTTTATATGTCATCAGGGGATGATGAACACCATGTAGAAAGCTACCATGTTGGCATTTTTCAGAGATGGGGAATATGTAGCCTTCCATACCCTTTTCAACAGGGCTCAAGTGTTCAGATTTAGATGTTACAGAGAAACAGAGGTAGGTATCATGAGCGCATCAATGCAACCTCCATCGCCTGCAATATCCCAATGACCACTCTCAACAGCTTCAGTATCGATGCTAAATAGCATTGAGGACAGGATGGTACCCTGTGGCACACCCAAAGGACCACAAAAGAATCACCCAGTATTACTATTGGAAACTAAACCCGGAAATAGGACCACAACCACTGCAGAACAGTGCCCCAAATGCCCATCTCACAGAACTGGTTCAGGAAAATATTATGGTGAATGATGTCTTCCTCATCACCATTGCAGGAGGCAGGATTATGTGTTCTCCCTTGTGCTTGGCTGGATTTGCAACATGACCTTTGCCACTTGTGCTTTACCCATAATCCAGCCCATTTCATTGCCCCAGAGGTCTCTGGTACACCAAGGGGAAAAAGAGGCTTTTGGGGCAGTAAAGTATCAATACAAAATTCAACCAAATAAGAAGCAAATAGAAGTGTTGGCTTACTTTTTCTGGACATCCAAAGGGGCTGTATGTACACGGTACTGGAGCAGTTGGGCAATCGTTATCGTAGTGATTAGGAAGCTACAGACGGATGGAGAGAGGACACTATAATTTTCAGTTTGTAAAGTGCAGAAAACAACAATTATAAGAAACAGTAATCAGTGGCCTACATATAGAGTATATAGGGCAATATACAACTAAGTCATGCTCAGAGCAGACCCACTGAAGACCATTGATTTCAACACCCAGAGTGCGACTAATATGGGATCTTCTCCACACCACAACATCACCACCACCAACAGTGTGTAATTGCACATTTTGTGTAATTGCACATTTACATTTTGGCCCACAAAGCTTGATGCTGAGAAAAATCTGTTTGCTAGTTTATAGCATATGCCATAGGTTATTTTATTTACTTAAGATTCCCAAGATGACCTTCAACTGAAATTTCTAAGGCAATTAACAAAGCAATACAATGCAAAAGGTAATTTAAGGCTGCAAATCTTATACTCGCTTATTTGGGAGCAAGCCTCACTGAAATCAATGAGACTTACTCCGGAGTTGACATACACAGATTTGGACTGTTATAATCCTACAAGTGAATCAACATTAAAATTATTATTTTTTTAAAAATGGGGCTGCCTCTGAAGAAGGCAGAAACTCAGAAGACCGTTCCCCAGAGTGGCTGGAGAAACCCAGCCAGACTGGCACGGTATAAATAATAATAAAAATATTATTAAACTTCAGTTGGTGCAGAATTCAGTGGGCAGGTTGTTCACCAGGGTAAGGCGGTTTGAGCATATAACACCATTTCTGGCTTGACTGCACTGGCTGCCAATCAATTTCCAGGCCCAATTCAATGTGATGGTTTTCACCTATAAAGCCTTAAATGGCTCAGGGTCACAATACCAAAAAGACCACCTTTCCCATATAAACCAACCCAAACCCTGCAGCCATCATCTGAAGCCCCTCTTCATGTGTCTCCTGTGACAGGTTCAGAGGGCAGCAACATGAGAATGGGCCTTTTCTGCAGTGGCTCCTTGCTTGGGGAATGCTCTCTCAAAGGAGGCTTCCCTGGCACCTTTGTTACATATAATAATAATAATAATAATAATAATAATAATAATAATAATTCATTATTTATACCCCGCCCATCTGGCTGGGTTTCCCCAGCCACTCTGGGCGGCTTCCAACAAAACACTAAAATACAATAACCTATTAAACATTAAAAGCTTCCCTAAACAGGGCTGCCTTCAGATGTCTTCTAAAAGTCTGGTAGTTGTTCTTCTCTTTGACGTCTGGTGGGAGGGGATTCCACAGGGCGGGTGCCACCACCGAGAAGGCCCTCTGCCTGGTTCCCTGTAACCTCACTTCTCGCAGGGAGGGAACCACCAGAAGGCCCTCAGCGCTGGACCTCAGTGTCTGGGCAGAACGATGGGGGTGGAGACGCTCCTTCAGGTATACAGGACCGAGGCCATTTAGGGCTTTCAAGGTCAGCACCAACACTTTGAATTCTGCTCAGAAACGTACTGGTGGAGACGCTCCTTCAGGTATACAGGACCGAGGCCATTTAGGGCTTTCAAGGTCAGCACCAACACTTTGAATTGTGCTCAGAAACGTACTGGGAGCCAGTTTAGGTCTTTCAAGACCAGTGTTATATGGTCTCGGCGGCTGCTCCCAGTCACCAGTCTAGCTGCCGCATTCTGGATTAGCTGTAGTTTCCGGGTCACCTTCAAAGGTAGCCCCACATAGAGCGCATTGCAGTAGTCCAAGCGAGCGATAACTAGAGCATGCACCACTCTGGAGAGACAGTCTACATATCTTTAGGAATGAGGCAAAAATATTCTTCCTGGCCTTTGGCTAAATAAACAATCTATGGCCTTTTAAACTAGGAGGAGGAGTTACTGTGTTTGTTTGTTATTATGCTGTTTATATTTTTGTTTTTATATTGTAAATTGCCCTGTGGTATTTGGATGGAGGGCAGTATAGAAAATTTTAAAATATAAAATAAAAATAAATAAAATTAGTCTATTTGTTTTTGTAAGTTGATGGTAAATGCAAGAAACTTTTCTTGCTATCTGGCATTCCTACATTCACTTCTCCATATTATTTTAAAATTATTATCTGCCTGTCCGTATTTCTATGTCACGAGGGGCGCATAAATGACAAACTATTAAAATAAAGAAATTAACTTATTGACACAAGTCAAACCACAACAAGACTACCTTGCTATCAAACAAGAAAGCTTCTTACCTGTTCTCTGATTAGCACTGTATTGCAGTATTCACAGCAGACATTTGCTAAAAGGCACATCTGGTCATGAACCTTCATTTCACCAAAACCAGAAAGTAAACAATAATTAATTGCACCGAAAGGGGACTAATAGATCACTAACATTGTGACTCCTCTCTCTCAAATCCCATCTTTGCATTAGAGAAAACAATAAGACCCAGGGAGCAACTTTGAGTTCATTTCCTTGAAAGAGCACTAATATATTAATTCAGGAGGTGCATACGTAGCTAGTCAGCAGACCTTTGTAGAACATGGTTAAATGATATTAAGACCAGCAGGTCCTTGGTGTTTTGAAATCTCTGTTTTCTTGTTGTCACTAAGTAGTGGTCCAGAAATCTCTTTTGCTACATAGCCTTACGGCCTCATGAGTGTCTTTAGCCTATAAGAACAGTACAGTGGTGCCTCGCAAGACGAACGCCTCGCAAAATGAAAAACTCGCAAGACGAAAGAGTTTTCCGTTTTTGAGTCGTTCCGCAAGACGAATTTCCCTATGGGCTTGCTTCGCAAGAAGAAAGCCCATAGGGAAATCTCCGGGGACCTCTTTTAAAATGCTGGCGGTCGGGAGCAAAGACTTTCGCCCACCGCTGGCCTTCAGAAGAGGTCCTGGACCTCTTCTGAAGGCCGGCGGGGGCAAAAGTCTTTGCTCCCGACCGCCTGCCTTCCCGGGACAGCGGAGACTTCTCCGCTGTCCCGGGGCGATCTTAAAATGCTGGCGGGCGGCAGCGAAGCATTCGCTGCCGACCCCCAGCATTTTAAAAGCCCCCGGGACAGCGGAGACTTCTGAAGGCTGGCGGTGGGAAGAAAAGCCCTTGTCCCCCCCCCCCAGCCTTCAGAAGAGGTCGGGTGACAGACTGTCCCCGGACCTGGTCTGAAGGCGGTTTCCATAGGAATGCATTGATTGATTTTCAATGCATTCCTATGGGAAACCGTGCTTCGCAAGACGAAAAACTCGCAAGAAGAAAAAACTTGCGGAACGAATTAATTTCGTCTTGCGAGGCACCACTGTAGCATAATCCAGCAAGGAAGGACTTCACATGTACTCTGGCTAATCTATGGAGGATATTATGTGGAAGGCACAAAAGGAAGATTAAAAAGACAAAACAAAAACAAAACCTTAGAAACCTACTTTTCTAACAAAAGGAAAGCAATGGGGAGCTTTGGACGCTCGTACTTACAGGACTGCCTGCCCCGGTCTGCCCCACGGAGGACCTTAAGGTCCATAAATAGCAACACTCTAGTGGTCCCGGGCCCTAAGGAAGTCAGATTAGCCTCAGCCAGAGACAGGGCCTTTTCAACACTGGCTCCAGCCTGGTGGAACGCTCTGTCTCATGAGACCAGGGCCCTGCAGGATCTGAATTCTTTCCGCAGGGCCTGTAAGACAGAGTTGTTCCGCCTGGCCTTTGGCTTGGAATCAACTTGATCCCCTTCCCCTCTTTCCTTCTGTGATGGAGCTCCTATTCGGGGACTTCCTTGGCTTTTTTTCTGGCCCACGTAGGACCAGTCTGGATAGTTGGCCTTGGTGAAGACTTGACGTTTTCATCCCCAAAAAAGTTTTTTATTTGAGTTCCTACTGAAATGAGGCTGCATTTTAATGTTGTATTTTAACCTTGTTTTTAAGTTGTATTTTAATCAATTGTTTTTATACCTGGTGTTGGCCGCCCTGAGCCTGGTCTTGGCTGGGGAGGGCGGGGTATAAATAAAATTTATTATTATTATTATTATTTATTATTTTCACACTTTTTTTCTGGGGCCAGACTTGATCAGCAGACCACCAGCTGGGAATCTTGGGAGAAAACTCATGGCAAAAAAGTAAGTTCAACATACCAGAAGTCCAGGTTCAGTTTCAAACTAACAGGATAAACTGCTTGAGAGATGGAACTGGGACATGTGGATTTATTTATTTTAAGGCAAATTTTAAAAAACCCGAGATTTATATATAAAAATAAAAATTCAGCTGCTTGTGAGGGGTGGGGGGGGGAATAAGTAAAAAGAAAATCACTTGGTGAAATCTTTGTGAATATCATATAGAAGGGTGTTCTCACAACTGTAAAATACTGACGCTCTTATCAGACAAGACAGGAAGAAAAAAATATTTCTAATTTTAGCAAACGTTTGTTAAATATGCTTCATTTAAATAAACAAACACAACTGTTCTGATTAAGCTGCATACTTTGAAACTTACCTCTTTTTCTTCATAAGGCATCCACACAGCACAGTTTGGACAGGAGGTTTGTCGTCGTGGACATTCTTGCTTTATATGATCCTGTATCTGATTCTTTTGGAAAATGGCATGGCACTGGGGACATTTCTCTGGAGCAAAGCCGCAATGCAGCTCATGGTCCTGTGGAAGAAAATGAGATTTGAGAATGAGAATGAGAACTTCCTGACAGCAAGAGCTGTTCGACAGTGGAATTTGCTGCCAAGGAGTGTGGTGGAGTCTCCTTCTTTAAGGAGAGGCTTGACAACCATATGTCAGGAGTGCTCTGATGGTGTTTCCTGCTTGGCAGAGGGTTGGACTCGATGGCCCTTGTGGTCTCTTCCAACTCTATGATTCTATGATTCTATGATATCAAATAGCAATTTAGCCTATAAACTTACACAAAATGATTCCGAAGCAGACTTAAAATATAGACTGAAGATCGTGGTAGCCAATCTGAGGCAAGTGTCTTCACGTCAATTACTCCCATGGTTTGGGGTGCAAAAAATAAAATAAAAAAGTATGTTCAAGTTGAATTCAGCTAAGACTTGTAAATAGCCAATTGGTGAGATCAAGCAATTCTGGGTGAGCAGACGGGAAAGCTCTTAAGAGCCGAAGAGAAAAGGTCCCTCCAACCTGGTTTTTCATGAAAGCTACAAAGAACTTTGCACAGGATAAGTGGGCTGTCAAGCTAGTAACTTTTCTAGATTTTCTGTTTTGCAATGTTGTATGAGGCTAGGCAGACTGAGGTAGCTGCCTCAAGAATCGATTTTAGGGTCATGAAAAGGCAGCAAATTGTTAGTTGTTTAATTTATTATTGTTGTGTTTTACTACTACTACTACTACTACTACTACTACTACTACTAATAATAATAATAATAATAATAATAATTTATTTATACCCCGCCCATCTGGCTGGGTTTCCCCAGCCACTCTGGGCGGCTTCCAACAAAACATTAAAATAAAGTAATGCATCAAACATTAAAAGCTTCTCTAAACAGGGATGCCTTCATATGTCTTCTAAAAGTTGGTAGTTATTTTTCTCTTTGACATCTGGTGGGAGGGCGTTCCACAGGGCGGGTGCCACCACCAAGAAGGCCCTCTGCCTGGTTCCCTGTAACTTGGGTTCTCACAGTGAGGGAACCACCAGAAGGCCCTTGGCGCTGGACCTCAGTGTCTGGGCAGAACGATGGAGGTGGAGAGGCTCCTTCACGTATACTGGACTGAGGCGGTTTAGGGCTTTAAATGTCAGCACCAACACTTACAATTGTGCTCGGAAATGTACTGGAAACCAAGGCTGGACTTTCAGGACCAGTGTTATATGGTCTTGGTAGCCGTTCCCAGTTCCCAGTCTAGCTGCCGCATTCTGGATTAGTTGTAGTTTCCGGGTCACCTTTAAAGGTAGCCCCACGTAGAGCGCATTGCAGTAGTCCAAGCAGGAGATAACTAGAGCTTGCACCACTCTGGCGAGACAGTACGCTGGCAGATAGGGTCTCAGCTTGCGTACCAGATGGAGCTGGTAAACAGCTGCCCTGGACACAGAATTAACCTGTGCCTTCATGGACAGCTGTGAGTCCAAAATGACTCCCAGGCTGCGCACCTGGTCCTTCAGGGGCACAGTTACCCCATTCAGGACCAGGGAGTCCTCCACACCTGCTCGTCTCCTGTCCCCCCAAACAGTCCTTTGTCTTGTCAGGATTCAACCTCAATCTGTTAGCCGCCGTCCATCCTCCATCCTGTTTATATGAAGGGAAGTGGGTTCCCCGATTCAATTTCTGGATTTCCAAGTTCAGTCCATAACTGCTTCTAATTCAAGGGCTGCCTCAAAAATTCAGATTTCTTACATGAAAGTACAGGTATACATAACTTCTCAATATTCATGCAACCATGATCCGCACAGATTTCAGCTTCCTCAATTAAAGTACTTTAGAAAATGTGGCACTTTTGCAATAGGGCACAGATCTGTTTATTATATTTTAAGAGAAACAGACTTTGCAAAATCAACAATATGCTTAACACCAATCAAACATGCTACAGTACAGCACTGACAGGTGCTTCTGCAATAACAGCTAAAGCATGTCCCAAACCCTCTTCACTTCTTTAATCCGATGTTACTGGAGGGAAAAATTTGATCAACGGACCTTCCTGAAGTCACCTGGATGTCACAACTTCACTGGGCCACAGGTGTAGCAACCATAACTACCACCATCCTGAGTGAGGGAATGGGGACAAGGTGTCCTTTGAGCTATTCCAAAAAGTCTTACGGTATGCTGACGCTGCTCAGGACTGGGCGGCAATTCTGCAAAAAGAAACCCTGAAAGCCCACCTCTAAATGCCTGAGTTCCATCTTCTGATGACAGCCCTTGTTGGGACACTTCACCGTCAGCGATAGGATTTCCCGTTTTGCAAAGTTGTCAGGAAAGAGTTGAGTTTCGAGTAAAATTTCGTTGTCGATTGGACATTTATGACCAGCATCTCTATCAAAAAGAGCAATGATATACATCATAGAGAGGTAAACAGAATATCCAGCCTACTGTAAGCTTGCAAGTTACACACATTTAACTCGTGCTCAATCAGCTTTACACACTTATTAAAACAAACAAACAAACAAACAAACAAACAAATGGGGGTGAGTGTCCAGGAGAATTTTTTTGGCAATCCTACCCACTATTGCAACCAATGTGTTTTAACTATACACTATTTTGGCTTTAAGAGTGATCCCCAGAACCCATAATTTGCGGGTTTACTGTATATCTATTAATGCAAATTCTGTGTTTTAGTTATTCTTGCCAGTTTTGTAACATTTTATGTGCCATGTTACTTTATATTTTTTTATTTATTTGTTAATAAATGTATTTATATACCGCCTACTTGCAAAACACATGGGCAGCGGAAAGCAACATAAAAGCATTTTTTCTGTACACTGCTGGTGAATTCTCTGAATGTAGAGTAATTTACAAATCTGGAAATAAAATAAATAACAAATAAAATTATTCTTGCAGTCATAATAGTCTCCAGTTCTGGCTTGGCTCCTGCTGCATACCGCCCGCCCGCCCCCCCCCCCAGCTCATCCCACACCATTCCAGTGGACTCAAGAACAGCTTTTTTTGTGGGGGAGGGGGGAGAAGCCAGAAAGCTCCCATTGTACAGACAGAGTTCCGCTCACATTTTCCTGGATTCAACCCATTGAAGGCATCTGTAGCTGAGATAGGATATCCCAACACCCCATTCGCAAGATGGAAAACATCAAGGGTGGTAAACTGGCCATTTGGGTTACTCGTCAAGGGAAATGCTGGATCTTCCAATAATAAGGTAGCCCTCTCACTCCAAACCACCCTTATCCCTGATACTTTTAGCTTTTTAAAAATACATAAATTTTAAGAGGGAATTTGTGACATCAGATTTATGCGGCACCAGTGAAAAGCACGTTATCTTTCTAGCCGGCTTGCAACCTGGTCCATCTGTACCTAGACTTCACACTTCTTTTCTTTTGACATCCCAAGTGTAATTGGGAGCTTCCTCTTGCTTAAAACTGCACTCCATCTGACACTTTAGGCATACATGAGACCAACTGTTCAACCGACGCTCTGGAGATGGGCTACAAACTCAAGTTTACTTGCAAACTCACTGCTGACATGGAAACGTAATCACTAACCCAGTAACTCAGAAACATGTGCAACGGTGAGCGTGATGATTTGCCCTTCGTTACAGACAATGACTTTTAACTACTGCCGGAAGTCTACTGCTCCTTTACCTTATGGATTTGACAATGCAAGCTTTGCAGAAACGGTGTCCGCATGGTGTCTGCACTGCTTCCCGGAGAGCCATCAGACAGATTGGGCATTCATATTTACTTTCCAGCGGAGGATCAAACTCCACATCATAGCCCTGGATTTCTTCCATGAAAGAGTTTGAAAGTGTTCCCCCAGTGCCATTGCTGACACTGGTGTTGATGCTTTTTTCTTTGGCTCCAGCAATGGAACAGCTGGCCATAGCTGCACAGCAGCCGCTATCCTGACCACTGGCTTCAAAGCTGCTGTTGTTACTGTGTAGCAGACTCATAGTAACAGGTAGGGGACCAGAGAGTGCTCTGTGGGCAAGAGACAGAGAGAGAGAGAGAAAATAATTAATTAGTTGTTTCAAATACCACATATTGCCTGAGCAATCACAATCCCTCTGCCACCATTATCACAATACCGTTGTATTAATCTGTGGCGTGACCGCATTTGGAACACTGTGTACAGTTCTGATTGCCTCACCTCAAAAATGATACAGTGGTACCTCTGGTTGCGAACGGGATCCATTCCGGAAGCCCATTCGCAACCTGAACAGAACGCAACCCGCGTCCGCGCGTGTCCCGATTTGCCACTTCTGCGCATGACGTCATTTTGTGCATCATGCGCGAGCGGCGAAACCCGGAAGTAACCCATTCTGTCGCAACCTGAAAACGCTCAACCTCAAGCAAACGTAACATGAGGCATGACTGTATTGAAGAGTTGGAAAAGGTTGATAAAAGGGAGAATCAAAGTGATCCAAGGGGATGGAGAAACTCCTCTTACGAGTAAAGTTATAGCGTCAAGGGCAGGATTCAGGACAGATAAAATAATTCTTCACACAGTGCATAGTTAAGGGATAGAACTCAATCCCACAGAAGGCAAAGGTGGCCAACTTGGATGGCTTTGAAAGAGAAATTCACAGAAGATAAGGCGATCAATGGTTACTAGCCATGATGTCTATGCTCTGCCTCCAGGTTTGGGGACAGGAATGATCCTGAATGCCAATTATTGGGAATCCCAAGTGGAGAGTGTGCTCAGATCCCGCTTGCCCGTTTCCCAGAAGAGGCATCTCACTGGCCAGTGTGAGAATGGGGATCTGGACTAGATGGCCACTGGCCTGATCCAGCAGGGCTCCGCTTAAGTTCTGATTCTACTTCTATATTTTCAAGATTGCTACTTCCTACAAGTGCCATCTTCCCAGTTGCTTTCACAACCACACAAGAACATCTTTTCAATCTGCCTCCCCCTCTCTTTAAGAGTCCAGACCACCTGTCAGTATCTACCGTCCTGGCTCTCCCTGTCTGATGAGGAACTGGAACTCATGGCTCCGGTTTTGCAGAAGTCTTTTCTTTTCAAATGTGAACGGTACATAAGGCAAGTCACAGGTTGCAAGGATCTGCCGTTACATGGGAGGTCAAAGGCATGGCTAGGCACAAGCGAAGATGTCGAACCAAGAGCATTTAGTGTAACAAGCAGCTGGAGTCCCAAGACTGGGCTGGCAAACATTTACGAGTGGGCTGGCTAGGTGAAGTTTGTGCATTCAAGCACAGGCATTTCCACATCCTAGGTTATGGAAGAGGGGTGGGTGCCAGCTCAGAAACTTTGGGGTTTTGTTTTTTAGCAGGCCCCTGCAAGACTACAGTGAAGGGACCTGCTTGATCTCAGGAGGCAGGGAGTTCCAAAGTGCAGGTGCTGCCATACTAAACACTAAACTGTTACTTGGGGTAGAAAGGAAGCAAACGGTAGTCAAGAAAAACCTGGCCCATGTTTTAAAAAGGTAAAGGTAAAGGACCCCTGACAGTTCAGTCCAGTCGCAAACGACTCTGGGGTTGCGGCGCTCATCTCGCTTTACAGGCCGAGGGAGCCGGCGTTTGTCCACAGATAGTTTTTCCGGGTCATGTGGCCAGCATGACTAAGCCACTTCTGGCGAAACCAGAGCAGTGCACAGAAACGCTGTTTACCTTCCCACCGGAGCGGTACCTATTTATCTACTTGCACTTTGACGTGCTTTCGAACTGCTAGGTTGGCAGGAGCTGGGACCGAACAACAGGAGTTCACCCCATCACGGGGATTCGAACAGCCAACCTTCCGATTGGCAAGCCCAAGGCTCAGTGGTTTAGACCACAGCGCCACCCACGTCCCTGGCCCATGTTTTAAGCAGGCCCAAATTTCTGCTTTAAGCTCAGACATGTTTTCGCCTGCCTGGACCCTTGCTAGATCACGAGAAACAGAAAGCTTGGCAACGTTTTACTGAAGCTGAGATCATATATCTGTGCGAAGAACATGCAAGGTATGAGACTCCCTACAGGCAGCCCAGCAGCTCTGGGTGACCCTGTGCTGGAACATGAGATCAGGAAAAACTGGCAAGCTAAGCACATGCACCAGAATGAAGGCTCATTAGAGGCTCTGAGTCACCTTCATGAGGTTCCTTGTACCCTGACAAAGCTCAAGAATATGTCACACCCCCAAAAAAATCCAATTCATTTGAGATAAAATAGAACAAAACACCTGCTTAAAAAAGTTTGCCCCGATGCCATTTACCAATACAGAACTAAATTTTAGTGAGAAAAAGTGGTGAAAGAAAAGAGAATTACTTTGAATAATACTTTGTACACCATATAAACTGGCCCCGTAATCATCATCTGAGGCCCTTCTTCACGTCCCTCCTGAATGAGAGGTCCAAAGAGTGGCAACACGAGAAGAGGCCTTTTCTGTGGTGGCTCCCTGTTTCTGCAATGTTCTCCCCATGCAGGCTTGCCTGGTGCCTTCGTTACACATCTTTACATACCTTCTTCTCCCAGGCTTTTGGCTATTGAAACAATCTATGGCTTTATAAACTATGTGTGGGGTTACTGTTTGTTTATTATTATGGTATGCATTTTTGTGTTTTTATATTGTAAACCACCCTATGATCCTCTGAATGAAGGACGGTATGGAAATGTAAATAAATGATATAATAACAACAATACTAAATTGTAGTGATTATAGGATCAGCTGCCCATTACGTAGCCTCCTGTCAGCAGCTCCTCCATTCCGTTACCACCTTGCGTATAAGAGGGATTATCTGCAACAAAACTAGACAGCTTCACGTTCTCAACAGAAGGTGATATACCAACAGGAAAGCAACAGAAGTGGACTGGAGGGCATAAAATAAAAAAGGAAAAAAACTCAGGACTGCCTTCTGTTAACAACAACAAAACCTTTCCAAACACCTACCCGAGACAACTGTGTCGATATTTCTGAACCTGAGAATTGCCAATCAATAGCAGCAATTACTTTCTAGCACAAGAAGGTTAATGATTAAAGAGAAAAATCAAACAGCAACAATCGCTTTGTAAAACCACCATTGACGCTTCAGCTTCTAGTATTGCACACAAATGCTTTTCTTTCTGGGAGTTTCCTGAACAGGGAGTTCTAGCTTTACTTGAAATGGTGGGGATTTTGTCTTCATGATTAATTTTATTCAGTATTTTGAAAAAGCTGGAGAATCCCACTACAACACACATAGACTATTCCTGTCAGTACACCCTGATTTGAGGGGCAATGTTCATTTCATCAGGTGCATTAGGTTTTGTGTGCTCAATCTTGCTCAAAGTCGGAAAACTTTCTACTGCTTTTAAGGTAATGTCTTCAGTTCAGAAAAACGATCATAAAAACATTTAGACTCCAATGTGCAATATTAGCCAAACATGTTCTTCTATTACTTGAGTTTTGTTTTAAATGTATCAGCTGGTGTGTGTGTGTGTGCGCGCGCGTGCGTGCATGTGGTGTATAAACACAATATACTGCATATACAGGTGTCTTGCCATTTTTGGGCAGGACTAAAGTCTTATTTGTCAAATTTTGGACTAACTGTGATTGATTCTCAGTTCAGAAGACAACCTTGAGAAGTCTCTTGATCCAGGGACAGTCCACATACCTGGCCTACCCCAAGCTCTTTTTCCTGGCGGTGACTACTCTTGCTCAGGCTGCACAGAAAAAGCAAACCGGTTCCAGAAATTCATTCCGATTGGGCAGATAAAATTTAACTGATCGAATTACCGTATTTTTCGCCCTATAGGACGCACATTTTCCCCTCCAAAAATGAAGGGGAAATGTGTGTGCGTCCTATGGGGCGAATGCAGGCTTTTGCTGAAGCCTGGAGAGCGAGAGGGGTCGGTGTGCACCGACCCCTCTCGCTCTCCAGGCTTCAGGAAGCTCTGCGCAACCCTCGGGAGACCGGCTCCGAGGGTTGCGCAGAGCTGCCTGCAGTCCCCGGCTCTGCACGGCCATCGGGAGCCAGGCGCGAAGTCCCGCCCGGCTCCCGATGGCTGCGCAGAGCTGCCTCCAGTCCCGGGCTCAGCGCACTTCTCCCCATCGCCAGCCCCACAAGCTTGGGGGACAGCGGGGAGGCGGAGCGCGCCTTCCCGCTGTTCCCCGAACTGGTTCTTCCAGCCCCGCACCTGGGGGGAAAATAATTTTCCCCCCTTTATTTCCCCCCCAAAAAACTAGGTGCGTCCTATGGGCCGGTGCGTCCTATGGGGCGCAAAATATGGTATACAGGATGGGGTGCTAGTGTATGAAAAGAGTCCAGATCCAACGATCCCCAGGCATGCACCTCAAGATGGTGGAGATGTCAGGCGCCATTCTGGTGCCCAGGAATGTTCCCTTGGTTGCAAATGGTCGAAATCCAGGTGCAAAATGCACCTCACACCTGCTAATTTCGAACACTGGCAGCAAGTAACCTGCCTCCCTTCTCTTGCCATCTGGAGACAGCAGCTTTCAGTTTCTTACTCCTTGTGGTGTATTTGAGACTTAGGTAAAAAAGGTAACGGTAAAGGATCTCTGGACAGTTAACTCCAGTCAAAGGCAACTATGGGGGGCGGTGCTCATCCCGCTTCAGGCCAAGGGAGGCGGTGTTTGTCCGCAGTAGCTGTTCTGGGTCATGTGCCCAGCATGACTAAACCGCTTCTGGTGCAACGGGACACCGTGACGAGTGCCAGAATGCATGGAAACACTGTTTTCCTTCCTGCCACAGTGGTACCTATTTATCTACTCGCACTGGTATGCTTTCGAACTGCTAGGTTGGCAGGAGCTGGGACAGAGAAACGGGAGCTTACCACTGTCGAGTGGATTCGAACTGCCAACCTTCTGATCGGCACACCTGTGGTTTAGACCACAGAGCCACCCACTCTTGTATTTGAGACTAGATTGTATTGGCCCACCACTGTCTATCAGGCCACACTAGTAGACTGCAAAAGCCCTTGTGCACAGAAGCAATCTTAATCTACCACTGTGAAATGTTGAAAGGTCTCAAGAATAACCTCCTGTTACA